AAACACACTCATCCACATAATCTCTCTTGTTCTCCCACCCCCCCCCTCCCCCCACAGGTCCTGATCCAGCCCTCCGTCCAACCCCAGCCTCACCCATGCCCAGAGTTCCACCCAGGCCTGGACTCTCCCATAGAGCTCCCGCACGATGGTGTCTGGGTTCTCAGGCTCCCGTATCCTTGCTCTCTCTTAAAGATTTGTATGAACCATTGTTTTTTTTGGGTTTTTTTTCGTTGTTTTTTTTTTTTTTTTTTTTTTCGTGGGTGGTTGGCGGGTGCTCTGATGTGGTTGGCTCCTTCTTTCCTATCAAACATCTATGGTCTTTATCTCTCCTTCTTCCTTTCCATGTGTGTTACTCTCTAGTTAGACCTCAAATCTTCAGCACGGATATGACCTAATTGTGTCGCAAGTGCGGCAATACTTTTACTAAAACAACAACAACAACAACAAAAAGTGAAGAAAACAAAAATCGTTGTCCTTAACGAGGTGACCAGTCACATGTACCAAGACGAGAACTGTGTGTACCTGATGCCCAACGACCCCCAGCAGCTGCACGCCTGCCACGTGCCCAAGGGAATGTTTGACTACAGGATCTTGTGAGAAATCTGTCAAGTTCAAGGACTCACGAAGCAGTCATTCGTCCCATTTTCCACAGAGTGGAGCCACAACGGGGAAGTGAACCGGCATCTGTGGTGTTGCAGTTGGGCACCTTGCTGTCGCATCATGCAGAAGACCTGAGTTTGATTCGCGAGTGGGGAGAAAATTTTTATGGAGCATCTCAGGTCTTTCTGCTGGGATGTTGTATCCCTCTCAGTCCCAGTTGGCCCTGACAGGCGTGGTCAGAAGCCTGCCTCCTAAATGATCTGAAATGTGTTGATGGGTGTGTAAAAAGACCTGCACTTTTTTAAATTTACAAGATGGCCGTTCTTCCCTTTACTGTGGAGTGAAGCTACGAAGGGTGCACTGATCACGCTTAAGCTCTGCAGTTAACTTTGTCTTGGGTCTACTTTGTAGGGAGGCTAACATGATGTCCCATGAGCTCTGCTTGTCTGAGAGTTGATCTGTATTTGCCATCTCTTCATGGCTTAGGGAAGACGTGCAGCATTGCAACCTGTTAAGCCTACATGGCTGTCATTGGCATATGCCCTCACCACCCATTGTCAAGTATCCATGTTTAGCAGAGTGGCTTGTGGAAGTATAAGATGCAGTACTGTTGTAAGGAATGCTACCCAGCTGATCAGGGGATTGTATTGACTATGTTTTCATGGCAAAGCTTATGTCTTACCGCGAGACAAAAGTGCTCAGTGCTGGGCTTCAATTTGATTATGTAGATCTCTATCTACTTATGGACTTGTTGCCCCTCTGTTGAAAGAGTTCACGTAGTGTTGGTACTTACGATATTCTAATCTTGATGGCGTGATAGACAGTTGTGGGAGGTGTACTTTTCAGGGGCACTATGTCGGTCTCTACTTTGCAAGAATCCGATTATGTCTTTGTGCCTCGATTGACAGCATAATTTGGATGTACTCCTAAATTTCTGAGGGGGGAGAGAAACTGCTGTAAGCCTCATTACATGCTTTATGTAGGGATGGAAAAAAAAAGAAACCACAGAATACACCCTCAGACTCTCTACAACAAGGACAGATTCACAAATAACTCTTTTACTTTCTCATCAGTTTCTCATCAGTTGGCCCTACCTACTGACAGTCTAGCGTGCACACAGCAAACATGAACATCATGGCGAACAGATTTTCCAGTCCTGAATTTATTTAAATACTTTTCTTTGTATTTAAAACACGTACATTAGGAAATTCGTATATAACGAAAATATTTCCGGGTCCTGCCAATTTCACTATGTGCATGTTCTGGAATCTACTTAATCGTGTTGACCCTATGACTGCTGGTCTATACAGAGTCACCGTTCTCATTATATTATTCATGAACCATTCGTGGGATAGGATGGAAGCTGATTGGTGGGTGGGTTCTGTATTTTTTAGTTTTGAACTGCTACGTTAAAATTTGTACGGTATTAAGTTTGTAAAAACTTTGCCAGACTTGTTCAAGAGGCATGTAAAAGTATTTCTAATGAGATTTCTAGTCTTGTTTTCCAGCAAAAGTTCTTTTCAATGTCATTATCGATCAAGTTCTATATCTTTGGGGGGAAAAAAAGACTTGAGAACACCTGTGAATGTCTGTTAAATTGATAGGCTACATAATTCAAGATGTGCAGTCACGCACGAACGAATAACACGAACACTCACGGGTAGCTCATACGATTTGCCTTTCCACGACTGATATCTCTTTTAATTTTACACTACCGGTATTGTTTACCTGAATTACGGAGGTGTCGAACACATATGTCAATCCCTGACATGTTTGAGTTGTCCGTGCTCAGCTGTATGTGATTCATGCGATGTAATTCAGTTCCTCCATAATGCACGGAACAGAATGTAGCATTGTTTTGTTTACTTTGTTTTGTTAACGCTGTTTTGTTTACACTGTTTTGTTTACACTTTAATGTGAATAACACCGGTGCTTATACCCATGCACACTGCCGATCTGATTCATGGATTTGAGCCTGGGCCAGCCAGATTTTCTTTCATAGATGGGGGCAAAAGCTGCCTTTTGGGATACGACTATGACACTCAAGGACAATTTAATGTGTTTATTTGTTAAAATTGTGAGTCAAATTGGTTTTTTTTTTTTTTCCACAATGGCAGCTTTTGCCCCTCCAAGAGAAGGACAATCTGGCTCACCCCGACTTATTCAAATGAATTTGATTGGCAGTGTGGACTCTGTTTTATGTACGTGATGCTCTATGGTTTTGGAAACTAATAAGTATAAGTCAACAGTCTATGCAGCGTAATTATCTTACAGACTGATACAGAATGCTGAAAACTTGTATGTTTCTTTGCATTGTCTGTGACCTACGTGTTTTCATTGTCTCTAAGATTTGCACTTAGTTTGCTTCAAGAGTAAATGTTTTGTTCTGCAATAAACTGGTTTTTCTCGTTATTAATTGTAGAAAATCTTTTAATAGAACTGTTTTACGATAGACATTCTTGGGTGATTTGCTTCTTCTTTCCTTTCAAACATCTCTCGTTCTTATTTTGCCTCTTTCCTTTTTAGTACATGTATGTTACTTTCCAATACCACCTCTAATTTTCAACCCTTGTATGACCTTTTGTGTTGCAAGTGCCATAAAAAACATTTACTAAAATTTAAAAAAACACATAATCTACCGCAAGTGAAACACGTTCCTCTGCCCTTGTCTTCCATCTGCAGTATCCTTGACTTTACACTCATATGTTGTTGTTGTTGTTGTTGCTGCTGTGTGGGTGGTTGAAGGATGGCTGTAATTGGCTCTGCTTTCTTCTCTCTCACCCTGTTGTTCCTGGTACTAGTGGTACTGGTAGGTCCCACCTCTCTACTTTTTCTCTGTTGTTTCTGTTTGTCTGTCATACTTTTTCACTTCACTAAATGACTGTTATTGTGTCGATGGGCTTCTCTTTACTCAAACAAACAAACAAACAAACAAAACGTGGGTCGTTGGCGGGTGCTCTGGTGTGGTTTGCTTCTTCTTTCCTATCAAATGTCTATCGTCTTTATCTCCCCTCCTTCTTTTTTGTGTTTGTTACTCTCTTGTAACACCTCTAATCTTCGGCACTTATATGACATTATTGTGTTGTAAGTGTCGAAAAACTCTTACTAAAACTAAAGTTGTTGTTGTTGTTGCTGTGGGGGTGGCTGAAGGTTGGCTCTAGTAGGCTCTGCTTTCTTCTTCTCTCTGACCCTGTTGTTCCTGGTACTGGCAGGTCCCACCTCTCTACTTTCTCTCTATTGTTTCTGTCTGTCATACTTTTTAACATCATGTCACTAAATGACCATTATTGTGTCGATGTGCTTCGCTATACTCAAACAAACAAACAAATCAAAACGAACAAAAAAGAAACCCCAAAGGGACGTGGGGGCGCTACAGTACAGGTAGGTCCAACTTCCCTCTTCTTTCCCTTTGTTCTTTCTGTTCATCTGTCATACTTTTTCCCAGCAGCAACTAACCACTATTGAATTATTGTGTCGGTGTGCTTCTCTTTTCTCAAGCCAAGCGCTTGAAGAACTATAGGCACTGAAATAACAACAAAGCTCTTAAATGCTATTTTTGACAGTGGTGAGATCCCAGAATAAGATGAAGTCAGATTTTATAGCTTTACCTAAAACACCAGGTGCCTCTGCTGATTGTTAGTGATATGCATAGAACAATTAGCGTTATGAGTCATTTTACAAAAATATTGTTGCGAGTACTAATGGGAAGACCAGAGATACCTAAAATGCAATTCGGCTTTGTTCCTGACAAGGGCACCAGAAATGCTATATTCACCTTAACTATGTTAATGGAAAGATGTATTGAAGCACAGAAAGATCTGTATTTATGCTTCATAGATTATTCAAAGGCGTTCGATAAAGTTAGACATGATGAGCTATTTAAAATACATGTACTGGAAAAGCTAGACATAGAATGGAAAGATCTAAGAATTATATTATTAGGAATTTGTACTGGGACCAAAACGCTGTACAAATTAATGGAGAATACAGTGAATATAAGCTGATTAGAAGAGGAGTGTGGCAAGGATATGATTTATGTTATGTCACCACTCTTTGACATCAGTGAAACAATCCTTAGAAACATAGAAGGATGTCCAGGTCTCGAAATGAATGGATAAAATATTAATAACATCAGATATGCCGATGACACAGTTTTATAGCAGACTCCGAAAAGGATCTTCAATCGCTTCTAGATACTGTTGTAATAGAAAGTGAACATAAAGGATTATTGTTGAATGTACAGAAAACAGAATGCATGGTAATACATGTATCCAAAATAAAGCAGCAAATTCTATTTGTAATCGCATTAGCAAAGGTGAAAAGATCAAACAAGTCCAACAGTTTAAATATCTAGGATATAATTATAACATCTGATGCCAAATGTTCCACCGAAATATAACGGAGAATTACATTACAATGGCTTAGGCTAGTTTCATCATAATAATAATAATAATAATAATGAAGATCATTTCTATAGCGCCCACTCCCGTGTAAACACAGCTCTAGGCGCTTTACATAAATGCATATGTATGAACAATATTCACGCACAATTACACACAGTCATACAAACACACACACACATACACGCTCACGAACACATAACACGCACACATGTGCACACACATTTCATTAAAATGAGCACAATCCAGAAGAATAGAAACATCTCAATGACTGCCAAAATAAAAGTTCTAAAATGCAAGGTATGGTCAACCCTTCTATATATGGCTGTGAATCACTAAAGACTGAAAATAAAATAGAAGCAACAGAAATGTGGTTTCTTAGGAGACTGCTAAGAATATCGTGGAAGGAAAAGAAATCAAATGAGGTAGTGCTTGATAAAGCCCACGTGGGAGGCTCACTTTTAAAAACAATCAGGAAAGGAAACAACAAATGCAGTTTTTGGGACACCTGAATAGACATAAGGGTCTTGAACATCTCACTCTCACTGGCAAAATTGAAGGCAAACGAGGCAAAGGTAGGCCCAGAGCAACCTACTTGGAGGGAACCTAAACAAAATTGGGTAACGGGGAAATATCAGGGAAACATAGCTTTTATAAAAGCATCCGAGCAAAGGAATGAATGGAAAACCATGATCGCCAATGTCTGTTGCAGTCTGTCACTGGATGATGATATGTGTGAAAGTTTGTCACTTTGGTCGCCTAAAACTTCCGAACTAGATCTACTTCGCTTTGGA